TTTTTTTTTTTTTTTTTGTTTAAAAAGTTTTAAGTTTAGTATTGTTTATTTTATTTTTCTTTTTCAGAACTCCTTTTCTTCGTATAAGTTTTGTGATTTGATTATACAATGAGATGCAATAATTTATTCTTTTTCTAATTTGTTAGAAATAATTCATATAATATTTATTGCATTTTATTCTTGAAAAAAAAATGAACAAGGGAATAACTTTTCAAAAAAAGAAAATAAAAAAAAATCTTAAGTTTTATATTTGACTACTGAAATTAAAAAGAAGTATGATAACATATGGATTTAAAGAGATTGAATTAAAAATCAAAATAAATTTTTAGTTGAATATATTGACTGATGATTCAGAACTACTATGAATATTCATCATTTTAGGAAAAATTAATATTTACTTTATCACTCAACATAATATTTTAATATAATATTTATATAATATTTGAAAATTCTTTTTTATTGAGATAGTGTACACGCGTAAAGCGCATATCATAAGACTAGTGTGTACGTGTGTGTATATATATATTGATTGGTTGTGCTAAATCAACTTTGATCATCGCATGATTGTGTTATCTCTTAATCACTATTAGAATTCAAACAATAAAATCTCAAATGAGATAATTCAGTAGTCCAGATGTCAATTCGTCACGAGTTCAAATTTTAATAGTTTCACATAATTGTTGATCCCAATTACGGATATATTAGAGCTAAAATTGTTAAGGGTATTCTGTAACGATTTGACCGATAATTTTGAGAATTTGTACTTTGTTCGATAATTTGGGGCACAAGTAACTCCATATGATATATTAAAACTCACGTGCAAACTTTGAGTGCACTTTATTAGGTTCTGAATCTGAATGAACCAGATCTTAGCCTATTAGGTATCTTTGTTTTTTTATTTTTAAAAAGTCTGAATAGGCCTGGTTGGGTCTGATTCGGCCAGACCTTTAATTAAGTCTTAATTCCGTCCAGAGGTAAAAAATACCGAAAATACACGCCTCTTTTCTCTCTCTCTTGACATCAGGCTATTTCTTCTAAACCCAAAACAAATTTCGTCTCTCTCTTCAAGGATCAAGCAGCCGCCGAATCTTTTTCTGGGTAAGATTTTGAAAATTATACTTGGAATTCTCCATGTTTTTTCGACTTTTCTAATGGTAAAAATTTTCAGTTTCGAGTTTAGGGTTTTTTAAAATACGATTGAGAGAAGGTTTTGCTTGGCTCTTATTTGTGTCTGGTTCTCACTTTTGGATATTCTATTTTGATTGAATCTCTGAATTTTCTGTAACTTTTCTTGATTTTGTTGACATTCCGATTCTCTATTTCGTAAATCTTAATGTTTTTTTTTCTCTTTTGCAGATTCACATTGTCACTTTTGAACGTTCTTTTAGTGATTGAAATTCAATTTCTATAAACCGTAATTGGTGTTTATGAAGCTCGTCCAAAATTAAGAAACTTTGCTATGGCTAGAATTCGGATAATGAAGTTATGTGTTGTTGAAATTAGAGCCGCTATAGTTTCATATTTGGCTAGAATTCGGATAATGTATACATAAGTAAGATTTAAATTTCAGTTATGTGCTATTGCTCTTGAATTATTCGTCATATGTTACATGTTTTATAATTGAATCATGCTTTCTTTTGTTTATTCAAGAATAGCTCATACCATCAAACATATTATTTGCTTAGAAATATACAACTTATCTTCATGGGTGGCTCAAGGGTGAGACTAGTAAAGCTTTCGCTTTGGGCCCCAAAAATTTTGAGGCCCCAAAAAGTGTTGTAAAATACGTAATAATATTTTGACTTGGACAATGACTTAGACAATTCTGAACTTTGTAGAAAAAAGTAGGTAATGCATTGCAAACATATGGCTAGCATCTTACTAATTTGAATTAACACTTGATAATATAAATAATAATTTTATCAAAGAAAAAATGTATTCACATGTTGTGGCAAACGGATAACCCTTCTTGTTTGTGGCTCTTTCCTCTCGTTTGCTAAGTAATTGGTATCACAAAAGTTCTTTTCTTGTGCTTTCTTTTTTCTTTTATAAACCATAGAAAAGAAAGAAAGAAAGAAGGGGGAACCTGCTCAGAATTTGGAAAATCTGCAGCATTTGCCTTCTCAGAGTCTGGAGATACATACCTTTTGATGCACCTAAAACAAGATTCAAAGAAAGCAACATATTTGGATTCTAAGGATTTGGCTACATGACCGTTCAGATGTATCAAAGAAAATCCAAATTTTGCATAGAATTAAAATCAGCACTAAGAAGGAGAGGAGATGGAAGGGGCAGGTGTTCAATGTTTGCCTTATATGTATTTTTTTGTGATGATGGTGTTCTGTGTGTGTTCTTGATTCCTCATTGAGAATGTCACCATATTTTTACAGGTAAAGAAGAGCTTTTTTTGGTTGTGGTCTGGAACCCACTGCAAAGTAACTTATAGGGCCTCCGCTGTTGTATCTTACCTGGTATCGTTTCCTTCTCCTCTTCCTGTTTAGGTAGAAGTACTCAGTTTTAAATTAGTTGTTGTAATGCTGTGCAATTATGGTTGACAATTAGGTGGTTTAAAATGACAATCGGTTCGGAAGAGGCATCAAAAAAAACTTCACGTTCTCAATTGGTTGTGTTGAACAGGGCATTCAAATTGGTAGGTGTTCTTTTCTTAGACTATCTAATGATGGAAGTCAGACGTGTATAATCGGCTATATGTCCAGTTTTAACTTTTTGGACTGTAACTCTTCAAGTGTAAGATGCATAGGCACTAAAGATAGAAACATTTGATCTGTAGCATACATAAGGTTCTGGTTTAACTGGTCTAAAGTAGGAGATACAATGACTTTTATCAGGTTATGAGGCAACGGTGTTTATCTGAGAATTCTTTTGTAAAAAGGGGGTTAGTAAATCAAAAGAAAGCTGGGAACTTGGCACTTTTTCATCCCCTTTTTTTAATAACCGTTCATGATTTCATAGCTTCAAGTTAACTTGGTACTCGTATCATGTTACTCAACTACTTTCCGACAACATATTTTCTTTTCCCTATGTAAGTAACTGGAGCAACATTCTTGAAGTCGTCTACGTACCTTGACTGGTTGTACTATTTATTATCCATGTTTTGTTAATGTAGACTGTTGCTATGGTGTAAATATGTGATTCATTTGCAGGCTGAGCAATGGGTTAACAATATGGGCTCTTCAGATGATGCTAAGCCAAATAATGTGGTTCTAGAGAGTCGTCCACCTAGGTAAAATTTTATTCGACATGGTTATATTTTGTTGAAATTCCTGGGGTTAATTTCTTAGGTCGTTGTAGGCTTGGAATTGGTGCTGCAGTTCCCCGTCAATCTCAAACTGTACTCTCAAATGACCCTGCGGAAAGAAAATTACGTGCTAAATTGGATGCTGAGAAAAGAAAAAAATTGAAGAGCTCTGAAGCATCAACAATTTCTACCAAAGACGGGAAAGTTGATGAAGAAAGCGATGACGAGGAATTAGAAAGCAAAACGAAAGCGTTTACCAAGAAGAGGCCTGCGGCTTTGCCCTCGTCTCTGCAAGCAAAGAAGAAGAAGAGGAAGTGACTCTGCATTATCTAGCAATGAATACTTGGAGATGTGCTATAGTTTTCCTTTAGTATATTATTCGAAGCCATCATCTTCTTGTTGCCATTTTGCAAGGTGCAGTTCTCTTGAGGTCTCAGTCTCCGGTTGAGAGAAATGTTATGAGTTCTGAGTAGCCCTCAAAGTGGATGGTCTTGAATTTTTGTCTTCGCTCGTCCCATGGGCAAAACTTTAACAAGTGTTGCCCCTCGCTTGCTCATGGGGCAAACGGGGTTCAAAAGTTATTTCGTTCGGGATAAGGTTATTTCGGTCCTACACGACCCCAACTCGTATAAAAGGGGTTCTAAATCTAATTTGGAAGAGATCAAGAATTATGTATAAAAATATCTTCAATTGTTTAAATATTATATTTATCAAGAATTATGTATAAAAATAATTTAAGAAAACCCCTTTCTAAAAATTTATCATCAAATATGTCTTTTAACTATCATTAGAAAAAGAAAAAGAACTATGATAATAAAAGGAACGAGAATGGTAGAACAAAGGAACAAAGAATTCGGGTTAAAGTTACATTAGGAGAAAAAACGAAACAAAAAGAAGGTAAAACCTATACCTTTTAATTTGAAGGTAAATAAATGAGACTTTTCGTTGTTCCAGAATAATGAATTAAATAATACAATACAACCAATTTTAATAAAACAATCAAAACAAACATTGTTTGGGAATAATAATACAATATGATACAATGGGTAACAACCATCCAAAAAAGTTGTAAAAGTATAAAAAAGGAGAATAATATTAAAAGAAACTATAGTACAAGGACTAGCTAAAACGTCGAATACAGTTAAACCTCTCTATAATAACATCTCTATATAACAACACTTCTCTATAAAAGTCAAGTTTTTTCGGAACCAATTTTTATGTTATGTTATAATATATATATGTTCTCTATAACAATACTTTGCTATAACATCCAAAAATATTTAAAACAAACGAGTATGTTATAGAGAAGTTTGACTGTATTATACATTAGTACAATCAAGAAAATATACAGATTTTAGAGCTTAGTGTACTACTTGGGGAGGCTAGATTTTAAGAGAAAAATGATTTGAATACTAACAAAACTATAATATCGAAACTTAAATTAATTAGTTAAATAGATTCTAATTATTTAGTTATAGTATAAGGTTCTAGGTATAAAATTATTTAGTTTCTAGGTTATGTATAAAAGTAGATGACATATTGTAATAGTACATGATGGAGAATATAGAGCGTGTTTGGCTAAGTTTATAAGTCGGTTAAACTGGTTTATAAGCACCTTTTGACTTATTTACGTGTTTGGTAAACATTCAAAATGCTTAGAAGCTAAAATCAGCCATAAGTCAAAAGTTAGTCACCCCCAACTTATGACTTTTCATATTATAAGCACTTTTAGTTTGACCAACACTTTTAGTTATTATCCTTAATAATATTTTCTAATTCACATAATACTTTTCCTAAAATAATTTCTTAACTTTCTCTTAATTCCATATTTGTTGCTAATTATTTTCTTTAAAAAGAATTTTTTTAATTTATAATCTTTTGAAAAATATTGAAGGGTATTTTAGTCATTTTAACAAAAGTATAGCTTATGAGCACTTTTTATTGAACACATCAACAAATTATTACCAGTTTCAGCACTTCTATCCAAACACGTAAATGCTTATTTTAAAAATCAGTTTCAGCACTTAAAAAAACTTTTCAGCACTTTAAATTTATCAGTTATTTACAATCAGCTAATCCAAACGGGCTCATAGTATGAAATAATATTCGAAAACCACGTTAGATAAAGTAGAACCGATCACTCTTTACATTACGATATCAAATTATATTTCAATGAAACTACGATATAATGTAAGGAAACCCGTCCTCGTGATATTTTGTGTTGTTCAAAATTTGAACAACGAAAATAGATGGCGAGTGACTGATCAAATTAAATCTGTTGGTCAGTCATCTTTTTGAGGTTGTCACACCTCCTTTTTCACCGGTAAGGGCAATAAGGGAGTTTTTCCACTTGAAGTGACATAATCGAGTTTGGTATTATTTATTTGATTTTCAGAGTCGCCACCCGGATTTTTTACTGTGTTCTGGGACACCATTTATTTATTAAAATCCCAAACCGAGGAAATTTTATAACTCTGTTTAAAATGACTGCGAACCAGAAATCCGAGTAAGGAATTCTGTTAACCCGGGAGAAGGTGTTAGGCATTCCCAAGTTCCGTGGTTCTAGCACGGTCGCTTCATGATTAGACTTGGCCTAAATTGATTAATTACTGCTTTTAACCTATGCACATTTTATATATTTTTACCGCTTTTATTATTCAATATTTAAAGAATTATTTTCAAGACGGGTTACATATGCATAAACCCGTGAAATTAGACGTGTCGAAATTATGTCACGCGGACGTGTACATAATTCACAACACTGAATTTAATAACTAAAGTCACGTAAATACGTATTTGTAAAAAATTTCGAAATCACGTCACGCGAGCATGTACGTAATTCCTATAGTTTTTACGAAATCTGTTCCTAAATGTGTCTCTATGAGTGTTCATTTTAGTCTTTAGTTGTGTCACGTAAAACGTATACACAATTTGAGAAAAAGGTACATTTTAGTCATTTTTACTCAAAATTACGCGAACGTATACTTTGATTTTTATTGCGTTTTAAATTCTAAATATACTCATCATCTAAGGAATGGATCTAAGCCTTCATTATATCTAAGGTAAATTTCGAAGAACTCTTTAGATTGTAATAGGTAGCCTTATGCAAAATCCTCTAAGGCTACATTTGCTAGTTTAAGGATAGTATCTAGGCTCTATCCGGATCTGGCCCAATTAACCATTAACACTTTTAGGCTAATCCTATTTTTGGGCTACTTAAGGTGAAGGAGTTGATTTGACTAATAATTATATGAGAAATTCTAGGTGCATAGGAAATAAATATGCTACCTCATTTCGAATTATAAAGCAAGCTGGAATTACGGCTATAATATCATAAAAAGACAAGTAAGATTTCACTACCATTTGACCCATTTAGTTAGAAAGGATATTTCATGTACATAAACGAATCAAATCACGAATCTAAATGGCCTTTTCCTAAAGAAATTTTTCCTTGTTTCATAAATGGCACTGTTAAAACTACTTTAAAATAATAAGGTTTTCTTGAGTCGAAATTGCTTGATCAGTTTTAGGAAAAACTTTAAAATCAGGAGAAGATATTTAAGTAATAAAACCGGGTTATTACTATTCTTGTTTAGGAAACAATTTTAAATTTCAGCTATGGTAGAATACATCCAATTAGCTTTGAATCCATACGCTATAAAAAAAATAGATTTAAAGCAGGAATTTTAGAAACATAGCCGGGATTTTCAGTTTTAGTACCAAGATTACGTGAAAACTGAAGCTGCTGAAGTTAATACAATTATACAGTCCATTATTACAGTCCAAAACGAAGGAAAGGGAAGGAATATAGTTTGTTTTACAAAAATAAACTTATACATGGCCATTAAAGTACAAAAATACAAATTTATACATAAAATCCTACACTAAATAGTTATTCTAACTACTGTTGCTTCAGTTTCAAACATACTGAATTTGCTCCTGACTCGAGTTCATAGAATCAAATACCACCTGATTTTCGGCCAATAAAACACAATAGTTATGCATTACTATATTGGCAAATTTGACCAACTGGTGGTCGAACTCCACCTCTTTTAAGGCTTTTTCATACAGAGATTCACACAGAACTTAGATTATGGAACTATTAACACAAACTAGAAAGCAAACAAGTCACAAATATGCACTACCATACGTAATTGGAAGTTATAATTAAGTCACAAAGAGATATAAAAACAGAGCAGATTTAAGCAAAATTTCATTAAAACTGAGCATAGTTACATACCTTAAAATGAAAATAACAGCAGTACACTGACCAAATAAAGGTCAAGAAACTCCTAAACTGAAGCTTAAAACCAACGCAGCCAGACAGTCAGCCAAACCAGTAGTAGAAAACCCAGAAAAATAGGACTTGAATACCAGTGAAGAAAACCAAATTTAAGATATTTTTCTTTGAATTGAGATCTACTATGTATGTGTGTAAATTTCCTATCTTTAGATTTCTTTTTTTTTTTTTGCAGAATGTTTTTTTCAGATATTAAAGTCTAATTTTTCAGATTTTTGGAAGCTCCCTTCCTTCAGAGAATAGGGCAGTATTTATAGGGGTTTTCGGAGTAGTATCTTTTGGGAAAATACCTTATCTATTCAAATATGAAAATAATACAACTACAGCTGTCCTTATCCTATTTCCAACATCTTTTTGTACCAGCTAGGACAGCTGTATCTTTTCTAGAAAGTTCTATTGTTTTACAGCCCTTATCCTCTTTTAGAATTACAGTTTTAACCTAAAAAAAAATCTGATTTTGCTTTTTTCCAGAATTATTTCTGATTTTTATCCTAATTCTAGAAGCTTCTTGGGTTGTTACACCCAAGATTCCTCACTTGAAATTCCTAAACTATCCTTTAATACTTTTGGAATTACTCCTTTAGTATTAAGGTTGTTATTTATTAAAGGTTAACTAATTCTTATCCTATTTAAGTAATTAACTTAATTAGTTAACTCTTAAAAATTAGATTAACTCTTGGCTTACCAAGTAATTAATCTAATTATTGGTCTAGGCAATTGATATTAACTAACTTTATTCTATTTTGGTTGATTACAAAGTAGCCTAACCCTTAGTGAAGTTGGAGGCTCAATTTTTCTTTAGGAGAAGTGGTTAATTAGCTTAGGTTAGTTACCTTTAGACTTAGGATAATTAAAGGAATTTGGTTAAGTTAACTAATTCAAATTATTTCAAGGAGTTAACTAAGCTAAATTAATTTTGGGGTTTTAGATGAGTCTCATGTTAGGTCAACTATTAGTTAATGAACAACTTCATTCTAAAACTAATTAACTAATAACTAAACCTTTATTGTTAATTGACTTTAGATTAAGTTAATTACTTTAGATTAGTTAAACTAATTCCTTAGACTTAGGTTAATTACATCAATTCATCTTATTTGAAGGATTAATTAGATTAAGCCTTGTCTTGAGGTGTGAACTAGATTAGATGAACTTAGTAGACAATAATTACTTTTTTTCTAATTTAGCTAATGGTTAAACCCTTACTATTGGCCAATTCTAGACTAATTAGTTAACTATAAGTTATTCAAACTAACTTATTAGACTTTGGTTAATTAGTCCTATGGCTTCTTTTAATTAATTAGACCTAATTGACCATTCCCAATAGGAATTAGACAATAGTTAGCCTTTAAGGGGTTATTAGCCTAAGTTTCCCTTGCAAAGGGTCATCGTTAATTGGATTGACCTTTGATTAGGTTATTAGTTGAAAGATTTGTTAACAAATGTATCTTAACTTAATCTAAGTTGATTCATGACCATCTTACTGGTCCATGATCAACTACTTTCCTAATTAATCGACAATTAATCCTAAATGGACTAACAGTCTCGAACATGAAACAATTAGCATTCCAAAGAAATAAATAAATAAATAAATTCTGAATTACAACAAACATAGTTGATCATTCAGCAATAAACCAAAGACGAGCAGAAATCATGTCTCGGTTAAATCATACATGGAATAATTCAAAACCATTACTTACACATGTAAAATCATTCATGAAAACTTAACACAAAAGCAGAAATAGACTAAGAAATCAGTTGATTCAAGCGAGTTTCTGAACTCTTACTTAATTGGTGATTAATGATATTCTATGATTAACAATTAATAAACCCTACCTAGTAATTGATAAGGACGATTAAATCTGAACAGGGTTACATTTCAAGACATGTTAAACAATCAAGGATATGCGATGAAAGCACATTTAACAGCCTAAAACCAGTCACATATGTACAAACGGACGAAACAGTAACACACATGAAATTTAAAAAAAAAAAAAAAAACACGAAAAAGACACAAAGGAAAGTGTGGGGTACTAGTGAGAGTAGTTTGGATGAATTCCGGTGACTTGCCAGAATTTTGGCCGGACTCCGGCGGGCTCAAGAGTGGCCTTGACTGGCATGAATCGACGGCTCTTGCGAAGAGCCATCGACTCATGTGAGTCTGAGTCACAGAATCGAAGGACAACGACCTTGGGGGTTATTAGGGTTTTGGCGATTTCCAGATCTGAAATAAGTTAAAATCGAGTGGTTTTCTGGGGAAATCGATGTTGGGAGATGGTTGAGGGGGTGAAGGAGATTAACTGGTGAAATTTTGGGGTCGATTGGTGGTGCTCCGCCGCCGGTGGCGATTTCCGGCGG